CATTTGCTCTTTGCGGATGACACCCTGGTTTTCTGTGATGCCGATATGGATCAGTTGACCTACCTGAAGCAGATCTTGCAGTGGTTTCAGATAGTATCAGGTCTCAAAATCAACCTCGGCAAGTGTGAGATCTTCCCGGTGGGTGAGGTTGCTAACATTGATGCTTTGTCTTATGTTCTCAGATGTAAGGTGGGCTCCCTTCCCACTACTTACCTGGGTCTCCCATTGGGCGCTTCGCATAAGGATACTGCGGTTTGGAATCCAGTAACTGAAAGAGTTAAAAAAAGATTAGCAGGCTGGCAGAAACGGTACTTGTCAAAAAGGCGGTAAGGAAGTGCTTATCAAATGCACCTTATCGAGTATGCCCACCTATTACTTGTCTCTGTTGCAAGCTCCTGTGAGCATCACAGAAAAACAGGAGCGGATTCAAAGGAATTTTCTTTGGGATGCAGCAGATGGAACTAGAAAGATTCATCTAGTGAATTGGCAGACAGTCACTTCCCCAAAGAAGTGGGGTGGACTTGGAGTAAAAGATCTTAGGGTATTCAACAGAGCTTTGTTGGGGAAGTGGATGTGGAGATTCGGGGTAGAAAAGCATGCTCTATGGAGGGAGGTCATAGTAGAAAAGTACGATTCCACGGGGCATTGAAGGACCAAGGCAACCACAACACCTTTCGGGTGTGGCATGTGGAGGAGCATCATGAAGAATTGGGAAGCCTACAATGGCAACATCACTTACAGGGTGGGAGATGGAAGGAGAATTAGCTTTTGGAATCATAGGTGGTATGGAGAGGATACTCTGAGGGTCTCCTTCCCCCCACGTCTTCATAGTTTCAAACCAGAAGGAATTGATGGTCCAATAGATTCGTAAGGAGCGTGAAGGGGGTAGTATGAGACCTCTCATTTAGAAGGAACATGCAAGATTTGGAGATTGCGGAGCTCCAAGATTTATTGACACTGCTATATGGGCAAGACATGCCCCAACCATCTTGTGATTCTTGGAGATGGGTTTGCGTGGCGATGGTTTGTTCACCGTAAAGTCCTTTTACCAGAGTATGTTGGTGAGAGAGGAGGCCACTTTTCCATACTCCTCGATTTGGATTCCTAAGGCGCTTATGAAGGTGTGCTTTTTCGCATGGCTAGCAGCGAGGAGAGTGATTTCGACTGCTGAAAATCTGCGAAAGAGAGGAATTATACTTGTTAGTTGGTGCTACATGTGTAAAAGCTCAGGGGAAGAAGTTGATCATCTTTTGTTGCATTGCCCTGTGTTCTCGGCTTTGTGGAGGGCAATCTTGAATCTTTTTGGTGTTCATTGGGTGATGCCAAGCACTGTAAAGGAAATGTTATATAGCTGGGCCAGTTTCCGTCGAAGAAGAAAGCAAAAGGCGTGGAAGTTTGCCCCGTTAGCTCTCATGTGGATAGTTTTGGGGGGAGAGAAATAAGAGAGCTTTTGAGGGGATTGAGTCTCCTTTTTCACATCTTAAGAATAGTCTTTTATCTTTGATCGCTTTTTGGTGCACTCATATAGCTCCTACTTGTATAGAGGATTGGGTGTCTTTTGTAGAGAACCATGTTCTGATGTAAATTCTCTACTTTTTGGTATACTTCCTGTATACGGGAGTTCTCTCCCTTTTAATTAATACAATTTACCTTATAAAAAAAGGCATTTTAGTCGTTTTAACCCACATCAACTTGCTCATTATCAGTTTTGGCACTTCTATACAAACATAGCCTTCTTCGTAAAATCAACGCTAACACTTAAAAAGTGTTTTTAAAGACTTGGTGTCTAAAAGCTACTTTCATTTTGCTAAGCTAAAGCAGTTCTTATTGCTTTTGGCCAATCCAAAGGAAGTCATTCTCCTAAAAACTTACTCAATCTAATAAGGGCATTCAAGAAGGACCTACGGGAAAATGGACATGGATATTTGGTCTTGAGGAGCTGGCATTGCAGAGGAGAGTATTCAAGACAAGTATGGAGTCATGATGGAGCATGGAGGACTGCGGGAATTAGCTTGCTATATGGAGGGGGAGGTATAGGATAAATTTTATAAAAACATTAACCTAAAGGCAGGGAATGGTGCCTTGATCGACTTCTAGAATCATATGTGGCCCAATTCTGAAACTCCCCGATAATCCTAGCATCTCCTCACAACAAATATCAAGTGTCATAAAGATGATGAAACGGGAGTGAGCAGGACTTAGATTTAGTAGAAATTTATAAGATTGAGAAACTGAAGAATTCAGAATCTTCCTTATCAAAAGAATTCCAAGGTGTTCTTCAACTACTGCACAAAAAGAGAATTTCCAGCTGCGATGATGATACCTGGAAATTGGAAGGACAAATGGTGGTTTATTGTAAAGTCATTCCATCACATACTTCGTGAAGAGAGATAACATAGATTCCCCACCCCGGAACAATATTAATTCCAATAGCACCCAGGAAAACCTTTTTTTTCCCTTTTTCTTTTTTGTGGTCCTGCTGGCAGCAAGGAAGTGGAACATCATTCTTGTCAGTCCCGAGAGCATGAGGAAGTGGAACATCATTCTTGTCAGTCCATGCTTCATCTTTAAAAGGAAAGATGTGAATCATGTACTGCTTCATTGCATTGTAGTGCATCGAATGTGGACTTCAATTTGGACCTCATCATGAAGCGGGGATGCTAAGAACAGTTCAAGGGTTACTTCACAGTTTGATTTTCAAAAGGAAAAGGAAAAGAGCCACAGTATGATACATCGTCCCTTTGGCACTTAATGCAGACAACCTGAAGAGAAAGAAACTGGCGAGCTTTTTAAGGCGTAAAATTTAGCTTCATACAGATTAAAGAATATTTGAATTTTTGGAATGCATTTCTGGTCCCAATTGACGTGGAGGACTGATGTAGAGTGTGATATTTGTTTAAGTTTCTTTACTTTCTATGTGTCTTTTATGCTACAGTCTGCTCCTTCTAGCATACATCTTTGCCCTATAAGTAAAAGGAGGTGGTTGCTCAAAAGAGGAACTTTCACTAGTTGGTCTGCTTATTGTTCTTGTTTGTAAAGCTTTGGGAAGGGAAATTAAAGCTCTATCTTTCCTTGCCAATGTATATTCTCTTGAGAAGTATGCAATTTTAATGTGCTGGGGTTTAATACAGGTTCAGATCTGAGATTTCCTTGCCAATCATGAAAGAATTAGTTCCTCATTATCTTCAAGATAGTGCCAAGGTTTGTTTCAAATTATGTTTGCCATTGTTAACCTTCCATCCCTACTCTTCATTTTTTAGTTGTGCTTGATGTATGAACTGATTTGCTTATCTTTGAGTTGGGAGCATATTTCATTGTTCAACTTCCGATATCATCTCTTTTTCTGGGAGTTCAATTTCGTTTGTCCTTCATGGCTGATGTTTTGTAGCTGCACTAAAGGGCTGGGGCAACCCTTCTGTTTACTATCAAAAAAGAAAAAAAAGATTGACATCTTCTCTAGTTGAATGTACCAAGTTGTTACTTTTACGTGAAAAAGTTCCTTGTAGCTTTTTCACGAAAATTAGTTTTTTCTGCATGCTGAGGAAAGCCCTGCATTTAAGGTGTATACAAAAATTAAAGAGCTACAAAACATGATACTTTACATAGAGCATCCAATGATCGAACAATATAATGCTTATCACAAAGCTCAACAACCTTCGACAATGAGCTCTTTCCAATTCCAAGCCTTTAACTTTCGATAATCTGCTGTCGTTGTGACCTAGCCTGGGTTTTTCCTTAGTTTTCTTTCTTAATTTTTCAAGTAAATGCCATATCCTGAATCATGCTTTTTTCAGCAAAGATAATATCAGAACTGCTACTCTTTTTCTGCTGCCAGCCGTAGATAATTATTTTGTCCCAAGGCAGCTTCCATTTGTTGATTAGTTTTCATGCTACCTTGGCCGTTTGTCCAAGTCCAATGGGATTTCACACTTTTGGTTTGTTATTTTTTTTGGGTTAATTTTTTTGTTTGTTTTTGTTTTTGACAGGTAATAGATATGATTGTTCTGATGATATCATAATTTCTTTATGTTTTCTTTCTTGCAGGAGAGGCTGGATTACTTGGAAGATGGCAAGAATATATTCAAGCTTCGTTTACGACTATGTTCATCATTGTACCCAGTTAGTGAACGCATTAGGGATTTTTTCCTTGAGTATGATAGGCACACTCTTCGGACAAGTCCCCCTTGGGGATCTGAGCTTCTTGAGGTAACTAAACTAATGCTGTCATTGACCATTCTATGTTTTTACCTGAGGTAGTTATCCCATTCTTAAGGTACTGTGCAAATATTTGCACGTTGTTTTCCTTCTTTTTTTTTGTTTGTTAATTTGTTTGAAAAGTTAACTGAAAAAGACTGAACTTTCGGCCCCCAGGACCTAGTTCAAGTGGCAAAGGGTGGTGGATTTGTGTCTTAGGTCACAGGTTCAAGCCCCCACACCATGCAAAGCAAAGCCTTGTATTTAAGTGGAGAAGGGTAGAGGGGCGGGCCCATTATCCACCGAGTTTCGAAGGCTGCGACTGGTCCAAAGGATCGGGGCCAGACGGATTTCTCGGTCATCAAAAAAAAAAAGACTGAACTTTCGAACTTTAGAATTATCCAGGCACTAGCGTAGTGCCAGCTTGCCAGGCTTCTATGTTTATGCTATAACACACCATTTTACCTTTAACACTGAAACTTATAAATCAATGGAGATGCTGAAATAGATAGTGTGGAACCTATCTTCTTTTTTATGAGAAAGGTAACAAATGTTATAAATATCATCAGCACAAGGTGCTGTGTGCCATATCTAAAATTCAAAAAGCAAAAAAAGTATATTATTAATTCTTCTTACAAGGGTTCTAAAACCTCTAAAATAGACTTTGATTCGTCCGTAAATTTCTCTTTGCAACAAAAGTGAAATAGAAGAAAACAATTCATCTTAATCTTTTTTTCGAAAAAGGTAACAACAATTCATCTTAATCTTCTTTTTAAAACTATGTCTATCCCCTATATTTTGAACTTCTTCCTTCCAAATACTCCACCATATGCATGCAGGGATTACTTTCCATCTATTCTTCTGTCTGACACATCTGCCAAACTGTTCCAGCATGCCAATAGCTCTCTAGTCAATGTTGGCATTGTCCATTTAATGCCTTTCACGTTTAGAAAATTCTGCCAAAATTGATCGGTGATTTCACAATGCAAAACCAATTGGCTGTTGCTTTCTGCCTCCTTCCCACCAGAACATCTTGAACAAAAGCTGAATCCCCCTTCTCTTCAAATTTTCTTGGCTCAGACAAGCTTCTTTTGTTGCCAGCAAAATAAAACAAGCCACCTTGTATGGAATTTTGACTTTCCAAGGCCACAAATTAGCCTGTTGGCCAGTATGAATCAAATCATCATATGAGAATTTGACTATGGAGACTCGCTCGTCGTGTTTCAGCCAGACAAGCTTGTCCTCTCGATCATCATTAGTGCCTTTGAATCGCTCCAGGGCCAACTAACGTTATACATGATGAGGTCCAATGATGTATGCTTTTGCAAATGTTATTTTGCTAATTGACGAAACTAGTGAGGATGTCAACCAAAAGATTGAGTGATGCAGACGCACTCTAGAGAGTAAGGTTTTTTGGGTAATTTGGCGTAAAGACTAGATATATGCACTACAAGTTGAGTCCGAATAAGAAGAGGGAAATTGAGGTGAATTAGACGTGATTGCGGTGCCTAAATGCCATTTCTGATATTTAAGCTTGATGTTCCAAGAGAATAGTATGATAAATGAAGATGTTACAAAGTCACAATAAGATGGTTGGAACGGAGAAGGGCTACCAGAGTGTTATGTCATAAAAGGGACACACCTATCAAAGGGAGATGCAAGTTCTATATATTGTAAGACTAACAACGTTGCAGGAGAGAAAATGTTGGGCCTCAAAAGTTTAATATATCCCATTCTCCACAAAAAAAAGTTAACATATCCACAAGATGAATGTTATAGAAATAAGGATGTTAGGACAAATTTGCAGCCGTACAAGATTAAATTAGATTAAAAAGGCAAAATACATAAGTTGCCACTTGACCTATGGTCCAAATCCCTGTTACACACTTTCTAGGAACGAATATTACTTTACACACCCAACCTTTCCAAAGTGTATCTAATACACACCACTTTTGGCAGCTGGCGCGCGCGTGTTTTACACAAAAAAGAGGCGAGTGAATGTAAAACTTTCGGGTCTAAACCATTATCTAAATGCCACATGTCTCCAGCCTTTGTTATTTTTTTCTTTTCTATTTTTAGTTATTTCATCTCCAAATAATTTGGTCTTTTTTCCACACACCCCTGGACACCTACTTTGTCATCTCCATTAATTAAACTCTGAAACACAAAAATAGTTTTAGAGCTAGGTCCAAGTTTCAAATTAATTAGTCATCTCCTTCAAGTTTAAATATTTTTAGATCTGCTAATGAAATCAGTGACTGATTTCTCCATTTGTTTTCATAATTTTGTTTTTAGATCTGCTTATTTTTTCTTTGACTTCAAAAATTTAATTTTTTTTGAATGGGTGTGAAGAAAGGGTTTATAGTGTAGGTTTTGCTCTAAAAATTATGGTGATAGTGATGGCTGCCATGGCAACACTTAAAGCACCATGTGAAAGATCTATGTGAATATTGGCCATGGCGATAGTGGTGGTTGCCATGGCCAACACTTGATTCATGTGATTTTTTTTTTCTGGTGGGTATTTCCATGGCTGTGGGATTTTAGAGGAGGCTTGGTGGGTATTTCCATGGAGTTTAGAGGAGGCTTGGTGTGGGAGTTTAAAGAAGATGAGAGACGGGGGAGGGGGGGTTGTTTCTCGTTTTTTCTTTTTTTTCTTTTAAATATATCAATTGTGGTGTAAATTTAGTATTTTTATTTTTTGTTCTTTGAGTTAGGCATGTGTCACGACCTTATTGGTGCGTGATATTATACATATTCTGAAAAACTGGTTAAGAAAAAAGTGGTGCGTCTTAGATACACTTTGGAAAGGTTGGGTGTGTAAAGTAATATTCGTTCCTAGAAAGTGTATAACAGGGATTTGGGCCATAAGTCAGGCGGCAACTTATGTATTTTGCCGATTAAAAATGATCATGTTCAGCAGGAGGTGCAAGCAGCACACACAAAATATTGAATGAGAGGAAGTCACTTGAGTTGGTTTGGTGATGTCCTATATCGACCTTTTAGATGTGTCGGTCTAGTAGGTGGGTGAAATCATGGTGAGTGGAGGTGTTAAAAAAGGCTAGATAGACCTAACATTAAATGGAAGGAAATTATCTTCAAAAACCTATAATATCTTGAAATTACTGTAGACGTCACGAAAAAGGATACAATGAAAGAAAACGATCTATATAGGTGATATCAATTAGCTAAGATAAAGTGAGGATTCATATAGTCGGCCCCAGCTTGCTTGGAATTGAGGCGTAGTTGTTTGTTTGACCAATTTTGCTTTTATCATTTTGTAAGGAGTCCTTTGCATAGTCGGAAATAATTTAGTGTTGCCAAATATATAGGTTAGGGGAGTGTGCATGTCCCTTTTTAGCTTAATTTAATGATGCAAGTACAAATGTGCGGTGGGAGTAGTTGATCGCGGTGGTTGTCAATAGGGTTGCTGATGGTTGGTAGTGGTGATTATGCGGTGGTGGTTGGGGTGGAGGTGGTTAGTGGATAGAGTAGTTGTAAAAAGTCACATTCTCCAGTGTTGTCAAATGATAGCATCTTAATGATTTTAAAAATTTGTACAAGATCATAATGAATCAGACCTATTCAGAGCATACAAGTAGTTGTAAAAGAAAAAAATACAAACGTGCTTAATGGTCGGAGATTTGAGTTATTCAGATTCAAACCTCCATTAAGTGAAAACAAATGGAGCCTAAGTAGCTTCCACTTAGCTTTGCTGATTTATTTTATTATTTTACCATTCTTATCTATTGCCCATGACCATTCTTGCTTCACCTCATGACTTTTCTGTGCTTGTACTTGGTGTTTTCCTCATTCAACTCGATTTTGATTCATTTCTTCAAGACAACAACAATGGTGAAAACCTTGTCCTTCATTTCAACACGCAATTTAGATTATCTTGGGTCAACATTAGTCCAAGTCAGCTGACCTGTCAAGTACTACTTAAAATCTGAGTAGTCATCAATGTTTGTCAGATCACATATCAAATTAGCAGTTTATGTCAGTTGGTTTGTCTGGTCAACTGTCTCATCCTCAGATCTTCGTCTGGTTAGCACCATGGATTGCCAGCAATTTGGTCAAATTGGCAACTTAAACTGGTAGCATACATGTCTTCAATCTAACCATGTCTAATTGATTAACAGTGGCATCATGGCCAAGTCAATCGCCTGGCAATGCCAAGTCAGTTTGGTCTCACATCAGTACTAAATCAATTTTATTTCCGGCCGCACATTCAAGTTTTAATTTACAAATTCAAGCTGTTTCACCAGCTTTTGTTTGTGGGGGTATGTTAAAATTAAGAGATAGGATATTCATGATGGTTATGTCATTGTTGAAAGTCAAGAGAATAACAAAGAATATAATATTCTAAAGGTTATGTTATAATAATTAAGAATTTCAAGAATTGGGGAACTTTGCTTGTTTCATGTAACTCGAAACTCTTGCATAAGGAGTGCTCTTGTTAGTTGTTAATTACCAATTCAAAATAAAAGTTCTCTCTTGCTAAACTGTCATGACATCAAATTGTGTATTTATGGTGAAAAGCCTTATTTTCTAACCTCTCTGATGATGTTCTGCTTGGTAGCCTCTAAAAAATAGTAGAAGTACTGAACATGTTGCTTTTCAACCGATGCAGTGTGATGAACTGGTACTTAAACTTGTCCAATTTTTGCAGGCAATTAATAGCCTGAAGAATGTTGATTCCACTGCTTTGCTTCAATTTCTTTATCCGATCTTAAACATGCTTCTCCATCTTATTGGCAACGGGGGAGAAACTCTTCAGGTCTGAGACAAACATTGCTGGTGCTTTTAATGATAGCTGTCTTTTTTATTTCACTTGCTTACATAACAATGTCTTTTTTATTTCACTTGCTTATATAACTATATACCTCTTTTTTCCCTTCGTGGTTGTTGTCTGCTGTGGGCTCTGCATCATAATTCTAAATGGTAAATACTGTGTTTTCTCTTTTTCATTTTCCACTTTCAGGTTGCTGCATTTAGAGCAATGGTTAACATTTTAACAAGGTACAGTTTATATTTCCTTTATGCTTCAGTTAACATGGTTATCCTTTATTATTAACATTAAATCTCTACCCCATAGGGTGCAGCAGGAGTCTGTTGATGAAGCTGAGAGAAATGCTTTCCTAGTAAACTTTGTTGATTATGCTTTTGATGATTTTGGGGGTCGTCAGCCACCAGTCTATCCTGGTTTGTCCACAGTGTGGGGAAGTTTGGCTCGCAGTAAGGTAAAACTAGTGACCTCCACTTTTCTTCAGTGAAGTATTTGGCTTTATATTAAACTTGGGCGTTTACTCGCAAGAACTCTTGGCAATGAAAGGCTTAGAAGCTTAGAAGAATTTCTCATAATCTGATGCGAGATATACATGTTGCTGAATGTTATCAATTCTGGTACTTAGATCAAATAATACAATGCAAAAGGTCAAATCTAAAATAATGGACCTTCAAGTATAAAGAGAACAACTGTCATGGATGACGAGAGATTGAGGAATGAAACTTTCTCCACCCTTTTAACAGCAGACAGTTAACAATGTGGCCTCTCCATTCCTTTGTTTTCTCCTGTCTGTCAGTATACTGTATCCAATCATTCAATTGTGCTGTATCTATCATTGCTTTTCAAGAGTAATGAAACCAGAGGGGGGGGGGGGGGGGATGCATCATTAGTCATGACCAATGATAGTGAACATTCTATCATGGAATGTTAGGGGACTCAATAGAGTTAGAAAAAGGAGGCTGATTAAAGGTCTGATACGCAGAGATTTTTTGTTTCCAAGAATCTATAATAGAAGGGGATATCGGGGAGATAGTAAAAGAATTATGGGGTAATAGGTGGGTGAAATTTGCACAACTAGAAGCTAGTGGAACTAGAGGAGGTATTGTAGTTATGTGGGATGGTAGAATCTGGAAGGGGGAAGTTTGTTGCTTGGGAACACATACAATTAGTTGTAAATTTTCTGGTAAGACTCAGGAATACTCATGGCATCTTTCAATTGTGTATGCTCCTAATGACATGAGAGAAAGGGAGGAAGTTTGGTGGGAGCTGGCAGGCGCTAGAGGTCTCTTTAGTGGGCCTTGGGTGGTATGTGGGGACTTCAATACTGGGAGGTTCCCATCAGAGAAGAAGAATTGCAATTGCATCAGAATCACAAGAGGTGTGAATGAGTTCTCTAAATTTATTGAAGACATGGAACTGGTAGACATCCAACTATCAGAAGGTGATTATACATGGAGAAAAGATGAAAGGCATGAAATAGCAGCTAGATTGGCTAGGTTCTTGATTTCTGCTGACTGGAATGAAGATTTTAGAAACATAAAACAATCAGTGCTTCACAGAGTTACTTCATATCATTCCCCACTGATGCTTCAATGTGGGATCCAGTCAAATCCTACTTTAAGTTTGAGAATTGGTGGCTACAGACTGAAGGCTTCAAAGTTAGAATACAAGAATGGTGGAACTCTTTTGCTTGTGAAGGAAGGCCTGATTTCATTCTAGCTTTTAAACTTAAAGCTCTGAAGGTAAAGCTTAAAGAATGGAGCAAAAGTATCCAAGGTAATTTAACATTGCAGAAAGCAAGTATTCTCAACCAACTTGTAGAACTGGAAGAAATACATGATCAAAGGAGCCTGGCTGACGAGGAAATATATACAAAAACTGTCTTGTCTATGGAATTTAAGGAGATTGCAAACCATGAAGAAGTGGCGTGGAAGCAGAGATCTAGGGCCCTTTGGTTGAAAGAGGGAGATAGGAACACTAAATTCTTCCATAGAACAGCTAATGCTCACAGGAGATGCAATAATATTGATCAGATGATAGCAGAAGGGAAATCTATGCAGAATCCTGAAGATATAATGGGGGAGGTTATCAAGTATTACCAAAACGTCTACACAGAAAAAGAGGAGTGGAGGCCACTAGGTGCTATCAGAAACAGTCAAATGATTACACCATAACACAACTTAATGCTTCAGAGTCTTTTTGGAGTGCAGGAGATATGGGATAGTGTAAAGGCATGTGCTGGAGATAAAGCACCTGGCCCAAATGGATTCTCAATGGCCTTTTTCATTAATTGCTGGGAAGTGGTAAACAGGGAAGTGGTAGCTGTTGTCCAGAACTTTTANGGGGGGGGCAAAGAATTAAGAGATTTCAGGCCTATCAGTTTGATAGGCAGCATATACAAAATTATATCCAAATTATTGACGGAAAGACTCAAGAAGGTGGTTAACAAATTGGTGGATACTCAACAGATGACATTCATAAGACAGATAATAGATGCCATCTTAATTGCCAATGAATGCATTGATACAAGGAAAATAAGCAAGGAACCTGGGATACTATGTAAGCTGGACATAGAGAAAACATATGACCATCTGAACTGGAGTTTTCTATTAGAAACTCTCAGGCAAATGGGCTTTGGTGGAAGGTGGATTAACTGGATAAAATTCTGCATCATTACTGTGAGACTTCAGCCTCATAAATGGTGCACCAACTAGTTTTTTCCCTTCTCAGAGAGGTTTGAGACAGGGGATCCCCTTTCTCCTTTCCTATTCATTATTGCTATGAAGGGATTGAATAATATGTTGAAAAGAGCTCAAGCAAACAATTGGATAAGGGGCTTCAAGGTGAATTGCAGGGCTGATAGCAATATGACGATTTCCCACCTTCATGCTGATGACACTCTTGTGTTTTGTGAAGCTGATAGAGAACAATTGAAAGTATTAAGGGTGGTTTTCATTCTTTTTGAAGTCACATCTGGACTACACATAAACTGGCACAAAAGTTTCATCTATCTAGTCAATGAGGTAATGGAGATACAAAATCTTGTTGATATTCTTGGTGGGAAAGTAGGTGAACTGCCTAGTGTATATTTGGGGATGCCATTGGGAGCCAAGAACAAGTCAAAAGGAATTTGGAATGGTGTGCTGGAGAAGTGTGAAAAGAAGCTAGCAAATTGGAAAAATCAATATCTATCTATGGGAGGTAGACTAATTCTGATCAACTCTGTACTTGATGCCATGCCTACTTATATGATGTCTCTATTCCCAATTCCTACGGATGTAGTGAAGAGAATTGATGCATTAAGAAGGAATTTCTGATGGGAAGGCAATAATGAGAAGAAGAAAATCCATTTGGTTAAATGGAGACTCTTACAACTAGCAAGAAGGCAGGGTGATTTCACAATTTTAGTGAAGTCTATATACTAATATACAAATATGTTACCTTCTCCAAAAAAAAAAGGATGGCATTTGAGGTAAAATGGCATGCTTGTTAGCCACATAAGTTTCAAGTATCTATTTATAATGTGCTTGAATGGAGTGGCTGGATTTCAAGGTTCGAAAATCTGCTTTAATAGCAACTGAAATATAGAGATTAAGTGCAGAATCTGAAACGTAATAGCAACTTCCAAACGGAACTGGAGAAACTAAAAAGTATATTGTTTCTAGGTTCAGAAGGTTAAGAAGGTATGGAACTCCTCATCCAGTATACCAGAAAGAAGTTGCTGCCATCACAACCCCATGACAACCTATGTATAAGTGATACTTAACCCTAGTGTAGACCTAGTAAAGTTACATGGTTCATACATATCAACTGGGAGCAAAGATAAGGCTGGGCAGTTCTACATAAAACTGACTCATCAGAGAAAACACAGAAAACATATAGGGCTTTAGCACTTAGCAGGGGACTGCCAAATCAGAAAGTTCTCTATAAGATTCTCCTGCATCATTTTGTAAGGTTTTCTATCTTTTTCGTATACTTCTTGTATATGGCACCCTTTTCCTTTTGTTTTAATGAAATTTATTACTTTATGAAAAAAAATATATTCTCCTGCATCATTAAGACTGGAATTTCATTTAGTAGGTGAGCTTTGGATCCAAGTTTATCATGTTGACTTCTGCACTGTCATTGTCAGCTCTAGTTTACTGCACAATAAATATTTTAGTATCACAGAAAAGGACTCTATGTATATGACATCTGTTGGTTCAGAAACTAAGGAACCATTCAGTTGTTTTTTTCTTCTTATGTTTTAACTACTTTGGTTTCTGTTATAGGCAAAAGGGTACCGCGTTGGGCCAGTCTATGATGATGTCCTGGCAATGGCTTGGTTTTTTCTTGAGCTGATTGTCAAGTCAATGGCACTGGAGCAGGCTCGATCCTTCTATCACAATCTTCCATCGGGTAATTGCAGTTGGGCTTGCTTCGATTTGTCATTATTGTTATAATCTTATGCTTTGTAATCATGCTTTGCTTTGAATCCTCTTCTCTGAAAAGTGCATTCAAATAAGGTCTTTACAAAGGTTGTACTCATTGTTTTCCTTCTACCTGGTCATCTTACAATACAGAGTAATAGAAGAAAACTGATCTTTTGCATGTGATCAGGAAAAAGAAACAGTTGTAATTTCCCAATTCCATTAGTGTTCTTTATTGGATGGTCTTTCGACCAGATTTCCTTCAGCCCTAAACCACAGCTCTGGTAGGTGTTAGACGATCATCTGAAACTGTTATATCATGTTATTTGACTGGATAATCCTAATGATACATCCTGGATTGTGCGGATTGCACAGAAGCACGAACTTCAAAGTCGTTTGGATGGAATATCTCAGTGTTGTATTAGCTAGTGATCAGAAAACTCGATTAAGGTATTCAAGGCATTTGTCGTTGCGCAACGCACTGAGGGAGAAAGATAGAAAGAGAACTCCTAATTAACCTGGAAAAGACTAATATATAAAAGAATCTTACAACAAAGAGAAACAGTTAAAAAAGTTCCAGCAAGCCGATCTACTCAAAAATTTATAAGTCGTGATAAACCGATACATAAGACTTCAAAGGCTGAAGACAGAGAAGAATATGTTGCTTTCCTTTGAGTGCAAGACATGCCTTTGGCTTTATATGCTTTGTCAAAGTCATTTGATTTTGGATTTTAGTGTCAAAAGTGAACGCACTTTTCTCACTCTCTTCAATCTTGCTATTTACACTCTCTGGCCCCGTAGCAATCACTCTCTGTAGACCACAATTACATAATATATATATATATGGGTAGATGCTAGATAAGAAATAAAATTGTTTAATATGTAAGTTGGTAGCTTTGGTCAAACCTTTTTTCATGTGTCTCTTCTGCATAATAGTCTAATCAATGTGCAATGGTTTTGCTTTACTACCCAACAATCTCATTCTCATTTATGGATGTATTCAGGTTGTCGAATCCATTTATATCCATCATGAATGGTGAGCCTGTGTTTGCTTCGTGGTTTCTTAGCATTGTTTTGAGCTAATAACCATGGCTTCCTTTAGAATAATGCTCATTCAGAAGTTAGGTTTTGGAGTCTTAGACTACTCGTTATTGAATTGGTTTGGATGCATTGTCATTCGTTTAAAAATTAGATTGTTGGCTGCTGAATAGTTGTGTTTGGAAATTCACCAAATTGGGGCTTTATATTGATAAGCTTCATTTTCGTCCTTTTGAGCACAGGTGAAGATGTCCCGCCAATGCAGTTGAAAGAAGGTGTTTTTAGATGTGTTGTTCAATTGTATGACTGCCTTCTAACAGAAGTTCATGAACGCTGCAAGAAAGGTCTAAGCTTGGCCAAGCATTTAAACAGTAGTTTGGCTTTCTTTTGTTATGATCTGTTATCCATCATCGAGCCTCGACAGGTTTTTGAACTGGTAAGCTTTTCAAACTCGACTTTTGCTCTTCATTCTAATTTAGTATTCACGCCTAGAACTGTTATTCTTGTTCTTCATCACTCAGCCTATATTTCCTCTCTTCTCCAGTTGATGGTTGTGACATATTCCGGTGCTTCAGTTCCTATTGGAGTTTTCCTAGAGGTGTTTAGCCCAATATTTGAATAGTTAAGAAGTCTGGGAGCTCTGGAGTGCTATCTCCAAATCTACCCAGCAGTCATCTGCTAATATAGTTTCTCCCCTACTTCAGAGAATCTTCTTCCGCCATAATTGTGCTTCCCAAGATGTTCTGATCCTTCCAATAATTTACTTTCATCGTCCGGCGGTTTATTCAGTGCTGCTGAATTTATTGATCTCCTAATCATTGGCACAAAGGTAGAAAATTTGCTGTTACTAGAGCCTTTGCTCAACTAAATTAAGATCCTTTTGGCCACATCCAACCAGCTAGGGTTGGGGCTAATCTCAAGTGTGATTACTGCCTCTCTCTCTCTCTCACACACACACACAAAAAAAAATAATATTATTACAATTAGAACAAATCTACCATACCTATTTTTATATACATTTCTTTCGTAAAAGAAAAGGTATTGTAGGTTTGTTCTAATTGTAATAATATTGTCGGTATTATCCTATATTCACATACTAATCTGTTTTTGCTCATCTACGACATATCTTTCCTAAGCACTCTGACGCTAGATCCAGAACACTACATTCTACATCAGTGTTGTGAAGAGCGTGAAGCGAGGAAAAGCGACAACCCCCATTTCACGAGAAGTGAGAAGCGAAACGCTCGCCTTTTTTAAGTGAAGCGGAATTTAAAAAAAAAAATTAAAATAAATACTGCATAGACAACACATATAATTGTAAGCAAATGTTCAATACTTCAATTAAAAAACTAAAGAGTAGCATCAATTAAAGCACAAAATGAGCATCCTATTCTTCTACAAGATTGTCAAATTCTTCTATTCCACTGCCATTATTAAATTGGGCAGAAATTGGGGGCAGAAACTGAAAAAATTGGGCAGAAATTTTCTGAGAAAGAACCGAAGGTAAAAAAAAAATTTCGCCAGCATTTCGACGCTTTTTGGACGTTTAGAAAGAAAAAGAAGAAGAAGACTGAAAATCAAAAGTAGAAGAAGCAGAACATACCTGTGTTGTTGAATGAGAAGAGGAACAATCCTTGGAACTTGAGATAATTTTAGAAATCTGAAGTTGATGAAGAAGAGAAGAAGAAATCGCTGCTCTTGTTGAAGAAAAACCTAGTCTCGCTGCTGTTTCTGGACTCCAGATAGTGTTTATGGTTTACAATAGGGCTTGGGTTAATTTAAACAAAGAAGCGGTTGCTTCTTTCGCTTCTCGCTTTTTACGGAGAAGCGGTCGCTTTTTCGTACCGGAGTCGCTTCACATACCTGAAGCGCTAACCTGCCCGCCTCGCTTCGCTTCTCGCTTAAAGCGATGAAGCGAGCGCTTTTTTAATCACTGATCTACATATAAAACAACAATAACAGCCTCAATCGCAAACTAGTTGGGTTGGCTATGTGAACCCTCAAAATACATTTGGGCCCGATTTGGAACAGTTCATATCTACACCGAATTTATGTTATAAACTTTTATACTGCTAACGCCTTACATGATTTCTTTTTTTTTTCTTTTCTCACCAGCACATACCAACCAGTAAAAGTTTCCTTGGTTGGCTCAGAAATTTGTTCTCCAAGAGTTGAGTCAGACACTAATTCACACCTAATTTGCACTAACAACCTTTTTATTTATCTCCTAATCATTGGCACAAAGGTAAAAAATTTGCTGTTACTAGAGCCTTGCTCAACTAAATTAAGATCCTTTTGGCCACATCCAACCAGCTAGGGTTGGGGCTAATCTCAAGTGTGATGACTGCCTCTCTCTCTCTCTCACACACACAATATATTATTACAATTAGAACAAATCTACCATACCTATTTTTTTTATACATTTCTTTCCGTAAAAAAAAAGGTATTCTAGGTTTGTTCTAATTGTAATAATATTGTAGGTATTATCCTATATTCATATACTAATCTGTTTTTGCTCATCTACGACATATCTTTCCTAAGCACTCTGACACTAGATCCAGAACACTACATTCTACATCAGTGTTGTGAAGATTGTGAAGAGCGTGAAGCGAGGAAAAGCGACAACCCCCATTTCACGAGAAGCGAGAAGCGAAGCGCTCGCCTTTTTTAAGTGAAGCGGAATTTAAAAAAAAAAATTTAAAAAAATACTGCATAGACAACACATGTAATTGTAAGCAAATGTTCAATACTTCAATTAAAAAACTAAAGAGTAGCATCAATTAAAGCACAAAATGAGCATCCTATTCTTCTACAAGATTGTCAAATTATTCTATTCCACTGCCATTATTAAATTGGGCAGAAATTGGGGGCAGAAACTGAAAAAATTGGGCAGAAATTTTCTGCGAAAGAACCGAAGGTAAAAATAAAAAAATTCGCCAGCATTTTGACGGTTTTTTGACGTTTAGAAAGAAAAAGAAAAAGAAAACTGAAAATCAAAAGTAGAAGAAGCAGAACATACCTGTGTTGTTGAATAAGAAGAAGAACAATCCTTGGAACTTGAGATAATTTTAGAAATCTGAAGTTGATGAAGAAGAGAAGAAGAAATCGCTGCTCTTGTTGAAGAAAAACCTAGCCTCGCTGCTGTTTCTGAACTCCAGATAGTGTTTATGGTTTACAATAGGGCTTGGGTTAATTTAAACAAAGAAGCGGTCGCTTCTTTCGCTTTTTACGGAAAAGCGGTCGCTTTTTCGTACTAGAGTCGCTTCACAGACCTGAAGCGCTGACCTGCCCGCCTCGCTTCGCTTCTCGCTTAAAGTGATGAAGCGAGCGCTTTTTTAATCACTGATCTACATATAAAACAACAATAACAGCCTCAATCGCAAACTAGTTGGGTTGGCTATGTGAACCCTCAAAATACATTTGGGCCCGATTTGGAACAGTTCATATCTACAACGAATTTATGTTATAAACTTTTATACTGCCAACGCCTTATATGATTTCTTCTTTTTTTTCTTTTCTCACCAGCACATACCAACCAGTAAAAGTTTCCTTGGTTGGCTCAGAAATTTGTTCTCCAAGAGTTGAGTCAGAACACTAATTCACACCTAATTTGCACTAACCACCTTTTTATTACTAACAAAGTTCCTATTTCTTTTCACCACCATAGCAATTAGTGGAATCTTCCTTTTTTCTCAATTAACTAAACAAGCTTCTCTCCTGCAAGGAAATAATCTCTCTATGATAATTACTAAACATGTTGCATCTGCTAAAGCTTCATGCCCCCCTAAAAGTTATGCTTCAGTTACTTTGATTTCAGATTTTAATTCTATCTTGTAGCTGTCTGATAAAATAAGGTCAGATTAGAAGTCCTCGATCTAGTTTTCACTGTTTGGTATACTATTCCTTTAACATTAGAAGAAAATACCAAAAGAAACTGAATTTCTTAGCATGATTAAATAAAAACAGAAAGTTGATTATGTATGCTTAAATGACATTATTTACAGAAAGATGTTATTGTGTTGGTCGTATTTAATTTACAAGGAAACATAGATTTTCTTCAGCCCTGTTGGTTTATTCAGCACCAAGTAGAGTTTTCTTTATATCATTATGCTATGTTATGTTACTTTAAATTGTTCTATTAATTATTCTTCCCACAGTCTAATAAATATATAGCTTCCCCATTATTGCTGTCGTATACAGGTATCCTTGTACCTCGATAAATTCTCTGGAGTGTGTCAGACGGTGCTGCATGACTGCAAGCTTACTTTTCTACAAATTATATGCGATCACGATCTTTTTGTTGAAATGCCCGGACGAGATCCTTCTGATAGGTAAATGTTCAAATATTTTTTGCCATCTTCTTTTGTTCAAATACCTTGTTTATATTGCTATAGCACTACCCTGTTTTATAAGACATCTATTCTCCAAAGTTAAAATGGCTAATGTTCGGTTTTTGAAAAGTAAAATATCTAAGTTTATTATATATTTGAAAACACAAAGAACTTCGAATTCAAATATACTTTAAATAAGGAAACCAACAACAACATGATTTAAAAAACATGATGACCAAGTAGGTCAATAACTGGGAAATTCAAAGACTTTTTGAATGAATTGGAGCATGAATGATCCCTCGTAAAAGTTATCTGGATGGGAAAATTTTAAATATATATATTGATGGGGTGCCTGCCTTGTACAGAAAGGCTACTAAAGGACATAACAAGGACTGAAAATTGCTTAAGATGTTCTAGATATAAACAGCCTTGTCTATACTAGCAGTAACCTGTCACATGAGGAAGACTGCTGGTTAATAAAGCTCTTGTTTTACCACTAGAGAAGCAGAAAGGAAAAATCTGCAAAGAGTAGGCCTTGAATATGTGAATCTGCATTTCAATTCCTCATAATAAAACTTATAAGCGCTGTGAGGAATAATGGGAAAATTGTAACTATACACAATACATACTCTACTCCTATTTCATGTGGGGCTATACTTATTTACATAATTATCTAACACTTTCCCTCAAGCCGGTGCATACAAATCATATGAACCGAGCTTGTTATATACGTAACTAATACGAGGACACTAGTGAGGGACTTGATGAAAATATCTACAACCTGATCATTTGACTTCACAAACTTTATAGTAATATCTCCTAAGAGTATCTTTTCTCTAACGAAGTGACGGTCATCTCAATGGATTTCATTCTCTCATGAAACATTGGATTTGATGCAATATGAAGGGCAGCTTGATTATCATACACAAGTTCCATCTGGCTGATTTCACCAAATTTCAACTCCTTGAGCAACTGTTTGATCCAAACTAGCTCACATGTTGCTATAGCCAATGCTCGATATTCTGCTTTGGCACTAGATCTAGCAAATACATTATGTTTCTTGCTATTCCAAGACACCGAATTTCCTCCTACTAAAACACAATATGCAGACGTAGAACGGCTATCGGAAGGTGATCCTGCCCAATCAGCATCTGAGTATCCACCGATCTGCTCATGGCCTCGGAATTATCCTTTGCCTGGGGCTTATTTTATAAACCGAAGAATGCAGATAACTACATCCCAATGACTATCACACGTAAAATCCATAAACTGACTCACAACACTCACAAGAAAGGAAATGTCAGGTGTAATCACTGTGAGGTAGCATCTCTAAGCGGCTCTCCCTGTCATGGCAAAAGTTTAGAGTTCGGATCCATAGGAGTGTCAATGGGTCTATAACCTGTTATTTCTGTTTCCTCAAGAGTGTCTAAGACATACTTCCCTTATAAGATCACAGTACCTCCCCTAGACTAAGCGACCCCAATACCTACATAATACTTTAATTTCCCCAGATCCTTAGTATGCTGAAAGAGATGTTGCTTCAACTTAGTAATACCTTCCGATGGACCTGATCAAAACAAACAAATAACATACCCAATCTAATCCGACAAGTGGGGTTTGGGGTGTACGCAAACCTTACCCCTGCCTGATCATTGCCGGTAATAATAATATCGTCAACATAAACCACCAAATACATACAGAGATTTGAAGCAGAATGCCAATAAAACACAGAGTGATTAGCTTCACTTTGAGTCATGCCAAACTCCTAAATAACTACACTGAACTTACCGAACCAGGCTCGAGGTGACTGTTTTAGACCATAGAGTGATCAGGGCAACCGTCATACAAGACCTCTTGACTCCCCCTGAGCAACAAAACCTGGTGGTTGCTCCATATAAATTTCATCCTCAAGATCACCATGAAGAAAATCATTCGTAAGGTCTAACTGATAAAGAAGCCAATGGTGAGCAACCATGGATAGAACGAGACAGACTGGTGCTATTTTACCCCCGGGAGAAAAAGTATTACTATAATCAAGCCCAAATATCTGAGTATACCCTTTGGCAACAAGGCAAACCTTAAGCCTATCAATCTTGCCATCTGGATCAACTTTGACTACATAAACCCAATGACAACCAACAGTAGATTGAAGACGAACAAGTTTCCAAGTACCACTCGCATGTAAAGCAAACATCTCGTCAATCATAGTCTGTTGCCATCCTGCATGGGACAATGCTTCACCAGTAGATTTAGGGATTGAAACAAAGGACAAATAAGATATAACAACATAATGGGGTGATGACAGATGATGCTAACTTAAACAGATATAATGTTGATTAGGATTAAGTATGGACTGTATACCTTTTCTAAGTGCAATCGGTGGACTAGGAGGAGACAAGTCTGCAGTAGGAGCAAGGTCAGGTGCATGACGTGAATCAATTGGGCCTGATTCTAGACATGGGCGACGACGATAAGTCAAGAGTGGTGTTCTTGTGGCTGGGATCTAGGAGAGCAACACTAGATTCCTCTACGATTAATATATATGTAAGACATCTGTGAGTGAGGATGTTGGAGGAGCTATCGTAAACTCTTCTAGAGTTGGTGTAGGTAAGACCTCAGTTGTATCAAGGTGAGCAGAAAAGGTAAAGTAAGGTCGAGACTAAAAAAAATATGATATCAACTAACATAAGGTACCTACGAAGATCAAGTGAGTAGCAACGATATCCCTTTTGAACTCGAGAATAACCAAGGAAGACACACTTAAGAACACAAGGAGCTAGCTTATCTTTTGCCAAAGCTATGAACAAAGCATATGCTCTCAAAAACACGAGGAATAGAGTATAAGGGTAACTGAGTAAATAATACTGAATGCAGAATCTGACTCTGGATGAAAGATGAAGGCATATGATTAATCAAATAACAAGCCGTGAGAACTACGTCGCCCAAAAAACGTAGCGGAATATAGGACACAATGAAAAGTGTGTGAGCAGTCTCAATGAGGTGCCTATTCTTTTTCTTTGCTACCCAATTCTACTGAGGGGTATAGGGACAAGATGTTTGATAAATAATTACCAAGAAGTCATAAACTGCTGAAACTGAGATGATAAGTATTCTAAGGCATTATCACTACGAAAGATGCGAATAGAAATGCCAAAGTGGTTTTTTATTTCATAACAAAAAATCGGGAATATAGAAACCAACTCAGAATGATCTTTCATTAGGAAAATCCAAGTACATCTTGAGTAATCATCAATGAAACTAACAAAATAACAAATCCTAAGGTTGAACTTACTTTACTAAGACCTCATATGTCAGAATGAACAAAAGAAAAAACAGACTTTGCACGACTCTCAGCGCAACGTGAAAATGCGGCTCGAGTATGTTTTCCAAGCTGACACGACTCACAATCTAATATAGTCAAACTAGAAAAACACCATCTTCTGAAGCTTGGATAAACTCGGATGCCTAAAAGTCTGTGAATTAGCTCTGGAAGATCTGTAACTAAACATGTTATGGAGGGATTGAGGGAGTTAAGGTAGTAAAGACCTTGTGATTCACGCCCTGTGGCAACTGTCTGTCCCGTATTGTGGTCCTCCATAACAAAAAAATTATCAATAAAATATATACCACAATGGAGGGCACGAGTCAAATGACTAACAAATACAAGATTAAAAGGACAGTCGAGGACATAAAGAACATATAGGGGATTAGCTTGTCCAACTCTTTTTGCTTTTGTTTGGACTCCATTGGCTAAAGTAACATTGGGAATAGACGGTAAATAGACAATATATGTCAAAAGTGACCTATTAACAAAAATATGTCCATGACCCACAATCCAAGAGTAATATACTAGGAAACACAAGCAAAGGAATTACTAGCAACAAAAGTATCAATCTGAGCAACATAGTTTATAGAGGTGTCTACTTACTTGCTCAATATAAGCACAATACTGAAGGAACTTATTATATTCCCCTGCAGATAAAGACATCCCATGTTTACCTGCAGTCTCGGTTTGAGCAACTTGAGCATTTTTAGATGGTCGGTCATGCAAAGTGTAGCGCACCTCATGAGTGTGTCCTTGTAATACTTGGGTCGAGATCTAAAATAACCTCCTCCTCTATTCTCCATAGTTTGGAGGTGCCTGACTTTCCACTGTCTGGGATGCGAGAACAGAGGATTCATTTGTCTGTGATGAGATCACTGGTGACGGGGTGCTGCAGCAAGGCTAAGTAATCGAGAGAATAATTCGTCAACTGTAGGGACAATCGGACTAGCCAAAATTTGGTCGTGTATTGAATCAAGGTCATTACCAACAAGTGTAAGAACTAGGAGCATCTTCTGTTGTTGCTCTTGTTGCTTTTCAACACTAGCAGAAACGAGCATCAAATTCCGTACATCGGAGCCCTTGCACCACAATGCAATACAGGAAGCCCAAGCTAAATAGTTTGAACTCCCCATTAAGGTGTCCGAAGTAATCATGAATCTTGAATTTCCGGAACCCGTATTTTTAGAACCAAATACATCAAATCCCAACGACATTGTTGGATTGAAGAAAGGTCTAGCAAAAATATCACGTAATAACAGAAAAAAATCAACTGGATCTTGCCGAAACAGGCGAAGGAAACATCGTTTCTGCCGGAAAATTTTCAAAATGATCGGAATAAAAGAAAATAGTATGGTTAGGCTCGGAATCACTGGACTACCAAACTGTCCTAAAAGACAATTAGTTAATCAATTAACAACTACTCCTCAATCCCAAGCTAGTTGGTCCGGCTATATGTATTCTCTATATCCATTTCATCTGTTTGGACTTATTTCATTCTAATATGGATTTAATGATTTGTCTTTTAGCAAATTAGGAATTCTTTCAACTTAAAATTGTATGTCTCATACTTATCCGTGTCTGAAATAGGTTAAATAAAGCTAGATCTCTGTAAGCCAACAGGTATAAGAATCTTCCTGTATCTCCCCTGATGTTCTCAGACTTGTGATACTCCCCTCGTAATATCATTTTCACCATTTATGTATTTGATATTGAGTTCTTTCTTCTCAAGCACCCATGACCCACCAAGGACTCTCTTGACAACAACATTAAAGTACTTAGGACACTGACATAAACAGTGAAAGTCACTAGAAAAAAGCGTAACTGCTTTTGATTAGGTTAAAAAAGAGGTTTCACGATGAACCATTTTGTGTCTTTGATCACAAGGAAAATGATGCATGTGTTTGTGCAAGTCCAAGTGAATGGATTTTATTTTAAATGAAGCCTCAGATTAAAACAAAAGCAGGGGAATGCCTTGAATAAGGGCTAATTTCATAAATGTTTGTGGTTGTTGAGAAAGGTACTTAATGCGAAAGGCTTATGATATTGATAGCAAGACGTCTAATGATTGCATAGTTGTAACAGGCCCTATTTGAACAAATTAAATTCTAATTATTGTCTAGATATCTAATACTTTTTCTTTATTGGGATAAAGGTAAGATCTTTATTGATATGAAGAGGAATCTTGCATACAAGGTACATAGACAGCTAGATAATTAAAATCTGCAAGCACACATGACTGTGTTGCAAATAGCAGCCAATCATCAAAACAGATTGGAATGTCATGTTTGCACCTATACAAATTCCACTAATACCTACAGAAGTGTTTTTTTCTCCTTCCGTGCACTTCTGTTTCTCTCCTTCAGCATTTTCCACATGAATTCTAGAGGAGACACCTCCCATGCTTTTCTTCTATTCCTTTTCCTTCTATACTGTCATTTGAAGAGCAGCTTCTTAATGGTTCTTGGTATTACCATTCAAGCGCAGTAAATGATACATGCTCTCCTGCATTCTTGCACGTGAAAGACCAGCTAATACTAATTAAATTTGTTTTTCCACAAATTTTCTACTGATAGAATGGATTCCTGTGACGCTCTCCAAATTGAGGAATGTGGAAAGTACCTGTCATAGAGTTCTCCCTTTTCCTGCGCAAATTACAGAAAAACTTTTCCATGAAAATGTTGCCCATTTCCAGCAATCTCTATCTATTATTGGTGTTTTGTGCTTGTAAAGTAGTTCCTACAAGGTGAGCTCTTCCATCTCGCAGTCTTGTAAGTTTCTTATTGAAGCTCAAGTCCCTTGAAATTATGCCTTCCACTCTTTGCAACCTCGACAACTACTGCAATCGGCTGTCTAGAGACGTTGAATATAGCTGGATAACATCCACATAGACGGGCGTCAACGCACAATTTCTACTTCCAATAGTTTCCTTTCAGCTCCATTTCCTACATTAAATCTCACAGTTCTATTGAAATTATCTTCCCTTTCATTGTGCTCCTCCATAATGTTATTCCATATGGTCGCTTTACATGATAATAAAAAAATGTTACCTAAAATATGAACAGTACTTTCATGGACAAAAGAAGTTTCTCTAAACATCATATTTTAAGTATTCTTCAACGCTTCATGCTATTCTTTTCCCCAAAACAACAACCTATCATGGAACGATGTATTTTCTTGGTTTAAACTTCTTATTTTGATTTGCTTGCGTTGCCAGTTGATGATGCTAGCCATGTTTCACTGTGTTTCTAATTTCGGCCATTTTTCATTAGTTGCTTGACCTGATCGCCAGTTTTAATTTGTGGGTTTATATTTTTAATGTCAGGAATTATCTTTCATCTATCTTAATTCAAGAGATTTTCCTTACATGGGATCATGATGACTTATCAATGAGGGCAAAAGTGAGTACTTAATTGGATGCTCATATACTTGGTCAAAAATTTCCTCCATCTAGTATTATGCTCTTTGTGAGGAATTTAGTGCTATCGTCTTTCCTAGTTCAGGCTTCCGAGCTATACATAAACCTTTCACTTTCTTTATTTGAAGGCTGCAAGAATCCTGGTGGTCCTCATGTGTAAGCACGAGTTTGATATTCGTTACCAAAAGCAAGAGGATAAATTATATATTGCTCAATTATATTTTCCCCTTGTTGGCCAGGTGCGTGATTCTAATTAAAATGTCTTATGAGCTTTAGTGTTCCCTTATCGGTAATGTTGTTTCTTGCGCGTCTTGTTCGAAAATCCTTATAATGTTTGAAAATTTCTTGCAAAGCCTCTTGAGTGCTGTACATTACAAGGTTTCTGAGAACATATTTACTGGGATTAAATATGCACTTGACATTAAGGATGTCTGCCTTTCGGTTTTCTCTCTAGCTCTAAATAGTAATGAAGCGAAAAAGGGAACTTTAGTGTTCTGGTTGTCCTTGCTAGAAATTTTGGGCTTATGTTCAAGTTGTTGCACGCTTGGTGTTTTGAAGAACATCTCACATTTTAGTTGTCAAATCAGTTAATTGACCAGACCCTAAAGTTAGTCTAATCTAAACAAACATAATGGCGTCAGGCTCTTGGTGAAGTGCCTTTAGCACATGACTAGTATTATTAAAAGGGTGTTTTGTTCTTCAAGAATGGCATAGAAAAGATCTACACATTACTTATCCTTACTGGTGCACCATAGCAGCTGCTATTTGGTGGGGCATTTGGAAGGAAAGGAACAATAGTTGTTTTAAGAACAAAGAAGATTTGTACTTCAAATTAAGTGCAACTGTATATCTTTGTGCGGGATTTGGTGCAACATAGCTCCCTTAGATGTAAATGATAGATATATAATTGTTGACTTTCTTAATTACCCAAAAGGAATTATTGACTTAGCTCATTACACAACTTGTAGTGGCTCAACTGTTTTAGCTGTAACTTTCTCTAGCAGTCCCTTTTTGCTGGTATTTCATCAAAATTACACTTAGCCTATCCAAAGAAAACAAATCTATATCTACACTATCATAAAAGTGGAAGTCCTAAACTAAAAAGTTAAAAAACCAAAATATCCTTTTAACAATATATAATTTTTATTTATTAATAATGGTAATTAAATAAAACTTTGAAAATATGGATTTATATTGTGTCTTCTCTAAATAGTTGTGTCCTTTCATTAGTAACTTATTTTAAAGAACTTTTGAAAGGGTTAGTTGTGTCACTGAAAGAACACAACTCTTTGTTTATTTTATGATATTATTATGATTAAGTAGCTATTCAATATGGTTTACAGAATACTTGACTAGCTACACGATAAAGTAGTGTCTAGATCAACATGCAGGCACTTCAACTAATTTATCGAGTACCTACTGCCTCCTAGCAGCTTAGGTATCGGATAACTATATCCACCAAAACTTATACACATTGAAGATATCACCTAGTATTCTTTTGCCTCAATTGGAACTTGAATCCTGGTTTCCCATGACTGTTCCGGCTTTCACTGATTGATAGGCCATACCATTGGGTGCCAACAAGTTGGTCTTAATAATAAGTGGTTTCTAAAGCCCCTCTGGTTACCTATTGTCTATATTTACCTATCTCGTTCAGTGACGGACCCAGGATTTTATACAAGCAGGTTCAACTAAAAACAACCTTAATCATTGATAGGTGTTGTACGAAAAAACGGGATTTGTCCGGGGCTTCTTTTTGGGGTTCATAATGCTACCTTGAAATGAATAATTTAAAAAATATGAGGTCCGAATTCTTCTTCTTTTTTTCAAAAAAGTAGTGCAAAACTTCAAATTTTTAACAAAAAACAATTGCTTTAACTAAAAATATTAACAATTTATATATCTAATTTTACATTTTCATTTAAACTTTAAAAAAATTCTATTTACACAATTTAGAGTTTTTTTAGACTCTAAGAAATTTAACAAATAACAAAGTTGTTAATTTACAAAAATAATAGGACAACAAAAAAATAAAGAGTTATAACTAAAAATAAACTGCTAGAAACTATAAGAGATGATAACGTATAACGTGAACTAACAATCTACGTAACATTAATAAACAATTTAGGATAACCTAGTTTAATGTGAACTAATAAATTAGAAATAATTTCAAGATTTGTATTTGCATATTTAATCAAAAACAATGTAGATTTTACTTTGTAAATTTTTTTGATCTTATGAAGTTAAATAGGCTGTAGGTTAATTTTTATTGGATTTGAGTAGGAGATCAAATATAAAATAAAATAGAAATAAATTAAAAAATAGAGATAAAAAAAAAATAGAACACGCTAAGGGAATAAACTAGCTACTTTGTTTAAAAAAAGAATTGACTATAAGTATGCTAGGTCCCCTATTTATTAGGCCCCCGTGCACTTGTGATGCATAGCGTGACTCGTAACAGAACTATGAAAAATGTTGCTATCGGCTTTCGAACTCCTGACCCCTTATTTGACTTTGAACCTGCTAAACCATATGTCCACAAGATCAGCTTGTGTCAAGCAGGTTCAAAGAATGTTTATATACTCATTTTACAGAAACTAACTTATAAAATATCAAAAAATTTCAACGAAGCGGGTTCATTTGAACCCTCTTGATCCTACGTGGGTCTGCCCCCGATCCTGTTTAAGATCTATACATGACTTCTTATCCTTACTGGTGCGCCATACCAACTGCATCTAGATCAATTTGCAGGCACCTTGACTAATTTATTGAGTATCTACCATCTTTCACTAGCATAGGTACTGGATAGCCATATCTGTCAAAGCTTAGACACATAGAAGAAATCACCTAGTTTTCTTTTGCCTCAGCTAGAACTTGAATCCTGGTCTCCCATGATTGTTCCGGCTTCAATGACGGATAGACCATGCCATTCCGTGTCAATAAGTTAGTCTTAATAATAAGTGTTTCCTCAAGCCCCCCGCCTCCCCCAATTGTATTATATGATCTATACATGACTTTTTATCCTTATTGATGCACCATACCAGCTACGTCTAGATCAATTTGCTGGTGCCTCGACTAATTTACCGAGTACCTACTACCTCCCACTAGCATAGGTACCGGATAACCATATCCACCAAA